ATATTGAGGTAGGTGCCACAGACACCAGATGAAAATTGAATTTAGAATTTTTCACCCATTTGACAAATTAAAAATGAAATGATACCGGAGTACAGAATGAATAAATTACCAGATCAACTGGCATAACTCATGGACCCATTGCTTAAAATGTCTAGCATACAGGAAGCTGGTTTAAGCTGGAATGCTATAAAAAGGTAATGAATTTAAGATGGAAGAAATGCTACTTAAGATAATTATAATGATTTGTCTGATATATAAAGCTTGAAAATTTTATTCATGTCCACTCAAAATCCTGAAAATTTAAAAGATATAAAATTGGTTTGGTTTGCTTAATTTTGTTTTATGTCATCTCAACCTCAGTGGATTATTTAATGCTGACAAGATTTTAACTGACGGTAATATTTTTTTCAAAAATATATTACTGTTAATATTTTTTTCCAAAAAAGTATTGCTGGCAATATCTTTTTTTCTTCAAAATTATATTACTGGTAATATTTTTTCCTTCAATTTTCTTCAAAAATGTATTGCTAGTAATATTTTCCTACAAAAATGTATTGCTGATAATATTTTTTCCTTCATAATATTGCTGGTAATTTTTCAAAAATTCACTGCTGGTAATAATGTATTGTGGGTAATAATTTTTTTACCCTAAAATTCATTGATGGTAATATTTTTTTACAAAAATATATTGATGGTATTAAAACCTATTGTTACACTTTCATAGTGTATTGACCCCAGTTTGTGGTGGTGGGGGTAACTATTTGCCCATAACAAGTGTTACCACTCTGGGTCAGCATGGACCTGGCAACATCAGCAATTAAGACGTGGTTCCAAGCTCCTCAAAATCTCGTGAACAAAGGCCTTTTTGTTGGGTGCAGTTTATCATCTTAACCAGGTAACCTTATTTGCTGGGGGTGGGGGTCTTACTCTTCTGCAGAGGTGCAGTCAGCGTAATCTGAAGCCCCAGGCGATAAGACAATATAAAATTGGTTGCCTGTCCATCTGTGCATGATTGTACATGTGTGCAAATCCAGAATCTGTGTTACATATTTATAAATCTGCCATTTGTCTATGTCTCAAATATTGCTACCACATATGGTCTGGTGCTCCTGCTATATATTAAGAGATTCTTGTTGAAATCCAAAGAATCTGCAATATTATTGATCCTGACTTGGTATCTCATTTTCAGTCAAGTTCTGGTTTCTCTATTGTACCTAGACCTTATGAATATAAGTACAGTACAAGACTGATGGCAAGGTCTTATCATTTTATAGTTGAAATGTCTAGATGTAACCATAAATTCTATTTCCCTTCTCTCTTGTGGAACTCTCTTCTGTCTTCTTGTTTTCCTTTCAACATTGATCTTCAAAAATTTAAATGCAATGTCAATCATTATTGTCTGTCTTCTTAATTCCTATTCTTTTATACTTCTCTCCCCTTAATCGTATTTTTTCTTATATTCTTTAACATTCAGTAACCCTCTTAGTGGATTTATTACCATGTTTGAGGTGAAATGATTTTAAAAAATTAAAAATGAAATTCAGTATTTTAAAGATTTTTTCAATCACTGGAAGCATAAATTGATAGATAAATAAGTAAACAAATAAATATGATATAAAGCTTGGTATCTGTCTATATTTCTGAGATGAGGTATTATGTACACTATTTACATTATTCAAACTATTGTCCTCATCTTTGTCTCCATATTTATTGCAATGTTTCGGCTGTTGTACGCTCTGACCTTCTTCAAGTGGAATTAGAACAGTCTACCCGAGTGAGCAAAATAAAGGGTTCAGTTCAACATTCCAGCCACCTGAAGAAGGCTGGAGCATACAATGGCTGGAACGTTGTAATAAATATGGAGACAAAGATGAGATGTCGATTGACATTACATTTGAATAGTTGAAGATTATAGCTCTCAGGGAAACAGTAATAGGGAAGGGTGTTCCACAGGCGAGAGGTGTGAGGTATGAAGCTATTAGAGTAGAAGAGACGGCTACATTCAAAAGTTTCTACAGTGAAAGGGTGAGAGAAGGATGCCAGCCATGTAGGGCGCTTGAATTCATGGAGTCTGGGAACCAGTGAAAGCATCTCATCAGAGCAATTACCATGAAAGTATTTGTAAAAAAGACAGAGAGAGGCGACGGTGCATCTGTGAGAGAGCAACTGTAGACAAGATGCCAGATCAGGGCCAATTATATTACATATCCGCCTCTGGATCTTGTCAAGAATTCCAAGGTAAACAGAAGGTGCACCAGACCATATATGGCAGCAATACTCCATGCAAGGGCGAATTGTTGATTTATCAGCATATGTTTTATATCTTGCCCAACATAATGGTTATTGTTGTATGGAAATAGTTAATTTCCATATTCAGCTTTAAAAATCATATTTTTAAAAAATCTTCTTTCATGTGCTATGTCCTTTCAGGATGTTGGCAATCATGACTCTTTCCAAGTTTCTGTCCTTTATAATTCTTAGTAAATTTCATCTTTTCAATATCTCTCCTAATCCTTGTTCTTCAAAGCATTTACACAAGCTCATTAGGTAGGTTATGCAATGTTTTCCTATAACTATCTTGCTTTCAGTATGTACTGTGAGTGTCAAATTTTCTAAGCTCTCTTTCCTCATTATGTTCCCTAGTAAATCCTTATGGAGAATTTCATTTCTCTTGCCTCAAGTCTCTTTTTTGTCTCTGTGGAGATTTCTTGGCAGTTACTGTCTTATAGGAGTACCAATATTATGTAAATGTTAAGTACTCTTTCATGACTCTCAATAATATAATTTAAAAAAAAAAAACTTAGCTAGAATTAAAATAAATAGCAAATGTAATGAGAAGAGAAAATAATGATATAATGAAGATGTTTACTTTCCGTATTACCAAATACTAAAGGTGTGGAAGGAAACTGCCATCAATATTAGAAAGAGCTAAAATAGGGAACATCATCTGTCTTGTCATATAAATATAACTTCATCTATCTTGTCATAAAAAATGTTTTTGACTGTTTAATCATCCATATCTTAAAAAAGACAATTCTTCATCAGATCGTGTACACTTGTTCTAGAAAATCACAATCAAGGAAGAATAAAAAATAATAAAAATACTATCTTTTGAACTCTTCCAGCTGCAGCAACTGCAAAAATGTGTAATAGATATAAGTCATATGTAAAATATTGATATAATCAAGATGCTGACCTATGACCCTGCCAAAAGCGAAATACTAAGATTGATTGATTGATGTGTTTTCTATGAACACTTTGCAGGTATTTAAAGCCGGATATTTTCACATTGTACAAATTTTCATTTTTGGAGATACTAATTATTTAGTGACACAAGTCTTACTAATTAACCAATAGCTGGGGGGGGGGGTGAGAATATGTTTCCCAATTGTATTTGTGCATAAGTTAAAATAATGAGGCCAATGGAAACTGAAACACAGCTCTCAAATTAACAATTCTGAGCCATCATCTATTACACCACCCACACATCGAAGTTTAAAGCTTCTTGTGTTCCAAAGTGATCACCCATCCAGGTAATGACCAGACTTGGCATTGCTTGACTTTGGTGATCATACTAGCGTTTCAACGTTATGTGGCTGTATGCAAAAAGCTGAAAAGGTAACTCCTTTTGGACATCAAATGTCTAACTTCCTAAAATATTTTCATAAATTTCAACCAAGAGTAATATTGCCTTTTTCGTCAATAAATGCTGAATGTTTCCTTCAATGGAGACGGCTTATTTTACTAATATGATTACCATTTCCAATTTGGTCTTTTGTGATCTTTAGCAATAACTGATTGTCTTGATTTTTTAACTAGATGACTAAGTTATTCATATAAAGCCAATAAGCAGAATAAAAGGAAGAAAAGAATTCTGATGTTTTTGTTAATAGTATATTTTGAAAACCAAATGGATATAAGCTGTAGATGAAATAAATAACCAGAAAAATAGTGTTTCGATACTATATGGCCACAAGTAAAAAAGCAGAAAAGGAAACTTCTTTTGGACGTCAAATGTCTAACTTCCTGGAAATTTTTTTACGATAAGAGGAGAAGGCTAGGTCTCTGCAGCCATCTTTGCCACCACCAGGGAGTAGAAGGGAAATAGGGAGAGAGGATGATGATCTTAATGATCTGATATGAGTGGGTGCCAACAACAATAATCCATCTAAATCTCTTTATATATACTTATTCACATCTGATGACATCTATCTCTCTATCTGAACCACTGTATATATATTTATTCAAATCTTCTCATATATATCGATCTATTTCTACCTCTTTATATGTACTTATTCAAATCTGATCATATTATCTATCTCAACCTCCTTATACATATTTATTTAAATCTGCTCACATCTATCTATTTATTTATCTATCTCAGGCATTTCAAATCTATCTATATATCTATCTATCTCAGGCTGTTCATATCTATCTATCTATCCATCTCAGGCTGTTCATATCTATCTATCTATCTATCTATCTATCTATCTCAAGCTGTTCATATCTATCTATCTATCTATCTATCTATCTATCTATCTATCTATCTATCTCAGGCTGTTCATATCTATCTATCTATCTATCTATCTATCTATCTATCTATCTATCTATCTATCTCAGGCTGTTCATATCTATCTATCTATCTATCTATCTATCTATCTATCTATCTATCTATCTCAACCTCTTTATATATAAATCTGTTCATACCTATCTATTCTGCTACCAAAAACATAAGTGTTTCCAATCCTAAAAATTGAAATAACAGCAAACTTGAGAAGTCTAATTTCTTTAAGGAATTTTTTTTTATAAATTCCAACTGATAGTAATGTTGATTTTTTGGTCAATAAATGCTGAATGTTTCCTTCAATGGAGACGGCTTATTTTACTAATATGATTACCATTTCCGATTTGGTCTTTTGTGATCTTTAGAAATAACTGATTGTCTTGATTTTTTAACTAGATGACTAAGTTATTCATATGAAGACAATAAGCAGAATAAAAGGAAGAGAAGAATTCTGATGTCTTTGTTAATAGTATATTTTGAAAACCAAATGGATATAAGCTGTAGATGAAATGAACAACAAGCAAAAAGATTAAACCCATGCAAATTTCACAAACAAAATAATCCATGAAGCAAATGAAAGGGTATTGACTTACATGGGGCTGAATATCATTGTGTGTATAATAATAAATTCAATATTGTTACTAATAATATTGTGTATTAAAGATGCCAACATACTGGGCATTTTTAGAAAGTTTATCATTTAGAGAAAATGAAGAATAAAAGCTGTAAAGTTTGTGATAATAATGAACTCTCCCATCCTAGCCATTTCAATATTAACCATTCTATATAAAAGCTGTCTAATCATTAATGGTTCAGTTTAGCAGAATAAAGCTTCTTAAGTTAATATTTGGCATTGTTTATTCATTACATCAATTAGAAAAATATGGAAAATTTCTTATGATGCATTTTATCTTTTAAAATTTCATCAGACTGGGCTTTGTTGATGTTGCTACATCGATACATGTACAGGAAATGAGAGACGCAGGTAGTTTAAAAATTTTTGAAAGAATATTTTTTGAATGATTTTATTTTTTTTTAATCTAGCCAAATTCATCTGTATTCTTCTTCTTTTTTCTCCATCACATTTTCCCTGACATTGTGACACAGAAAATCTGCCAAGAATGGTAAGTGCCTGGTTGTAAATTTACCATGGCTCTTACAATATATCACTATTCTTGGTAGATTTTTTGTTGTCCCCAGTGTGGGATAGTCAGGTGATGGAGAGAAAGAGTAAAAGAATACAGATGAATTTAGCTAGATTAAAAAATATTCTTTCAAAAATATTATATCATTACATCATGCAAGTTCAATTTCTGTTGCTATTTTTAGGCTTAATCAGTATAATAGACTTCATTATAAAACAGGTTTCCTCAGGAAAATAGATGTAAGTTTCAGTTCTGCTAGAGATGTATTCTTTATTTGCAAACTGAGCTGCTTGCAGAAATTCCCAAAATGGCTGTCTAAGGGATTGCAATAAAATGTATTTGAAAGTTAGAATGAAATAAGTACTAGTTTATAATTTAACAATGCTTTTTATAACAAGTTTCATTAAAATGACTAACAAGATACTTACTTTAATTTTTTTATTATATTTTTCATGTATGCAACATCGACATAGTTTCAATGTACTGGCCATATTCAGGAATGAAGAACATACTTTTCAACAACTTTTAGACACTTTACAATGGCACAACTAAAATTCTTGAAAATGACTAATAGATCAGGCAAAAGCATTTGGAACAAACAATCATTTTCAATTAAATCAATTTCAATACTCACCAAGTCCCCCACCCAACAAAAAGGATTCTTATTTGGATGCAAGAAAAATATAAAAAGAAACTTAACAGATGTACCTTATTAGTTATTTTCAACAAAACATGCATTATAGAGGGAATGCTGCCAAAATACATAACTATTAAATAATGCAAGATAATATTTTAACACACAGGCATTTTAGCCAAAATAAAATTAATAACAATATTTCATTCTCTTTGAAAATAACAGAATTTTATTTTTTTTAAGGTTATACAAATCTTCTGTAATATCAGTTCTCCAATATGGCAGTGAATGCTAGACAATCTCCTCAGAGATAAAGAAAAGACTTGAGGCAACAGAAATGTGGCTCTGCAGAAAGATACTGAGAATATAAACATGGACTGAACATTAGAGCAACTATGAAGTTTCAAAGAAAATGGAAACAAAAAGGTCTCTATACTTTGTATTAAAAATATAGAATTGAAATTTCTATAACATATAATGAGGAAGGAAGGCTTAAAGAATTTGACACTCACAAGATAGATTAAAGACAAGAGTGACAGAGGAAAGCAACAAATAATCTACATAATGACTTTGTGTAAAAGTTTGGAATTTGAAGGAATAGCAAAAAGGTAACATTTACTAAGAGCTAGAAATGTCAAGAAGTTGTGGAGAGCCATGATAGGGCAACATCTGAAATGAAATGGCAAACAGAAGTAGCAAATAAACTTGCATAACTTATACAGCTCTGAAATGTCAAAAAGCATTGACTGAACCTGAGATAGTCAAATGGAAAGATAAAACTGAACAATTTCTAATCTGGTATATCTGACTGATCAGTGTTTTCAGATCTCAAACAAACTGCGAAGAGATGATCAGCAACACCAGAATGGTAAACTGCAGAGCTAAAATAGATGTTTTCCATAAAGCAGAGTTGAAAATGTTGTTGTATTTTTAGTGGAACTTAGAAACCAGATTCCATCTGTGACTGGCCATTTCTAGAAAGCGGAAGTGGTAAGATTAGATAGAAGATTACAACACTCAGAATCCAAGTTTGACAAAGCATTCTTTCTGTCTTTTCTATATATATTTCCATGGTAATTCTTCTGATGAGCTTTCCTCTTTGGTGCCTTAACTTCACAAATTTAAGTGCAGTACCAGATTAGCATCTTGGTTTCATCATTTTACTATTGAAATTGTTAGATGTAAATGTAAGTTCCATGCTAACAATTTCTTCTATCACACTTCTCACTCTTGGAACTCTCTTCTGGTTTCTTGTTTTCCATTTAATTTTGATCTCAAAAGATTTAATTGTTGGTAGTTGTAGTCATAAGTTCTATGCTAACAGTTTCTTCTCTCATACTTCTCACTTGTAAAAGTCTTTCTTAGCTTCTTATTTTCCAATCAGCGTTGATCTTCAAATATTTCCCTGTTACTAGTTGTAGTCATAAGTGTCTGCGTATCTTCAGAATGTTCTTGATGTATATTTGTAACCTGCATTTGTTTTATTTCTTTAAATCCCACTACATGTATAAGAGTCCATCAAAAAAAAAAAACACGATATTTCTCCAATGAAGAAATATGTAACAGAGGATTCTTACCATATTGTCATTCAATTACTCAGTAAGATCATGATATATTCTTGCTGAGTCTCAGGACATTTGCACTATTACTGGTGGATATTACTGAAGATCAGTTAATTTCTTTCACATAATGCTCTGAATTCAAGTTAATTTTAATTGTACGGATGTGTATTACCTTCTTAATGAGCTTGTGGGAATGATTGACTGAGTAGAGATTAGGAGAGATAGCAAAATGCCAGAATTTACTAAGATCTACAATTCACAAGAAATTATGGAAATCTGTGATTTACCACATCTTGAAGAGACACAACACATAGAAGATGTTTGAAAGGTGTCATTTAGTTAGTTCTACTTGTAAAGTTTTGGGGACAGCCACAAGTGCATCAGAAATGCTAAGTACAATCATGATTCTCAAATTCTACAATTTCTTTACTTCTCTGGCAACTTCCAGGTATTTGTCCTGATTTTCCTTTTACCCCTGTTCTACTGGAAGCACAAAATCCATTATCTGAACAATTTTATTCTTTATAGTGAATAGATTTGCTTTCTTACTATAGACTGAGTGATCCATTTTAATTTCAAAGTCCTGAATAAATTACTTTTTATATTTTCTTGAGCAAGTTCTGGTTTGTGGGAATAACAATAGCTTTTGCATTGTCAAATTCCTGTCATTTGCACTATTGTTGGTGGATATTACTGAAGATCAGTTAATTTCTTTCACAGAGTTCTATGAATTCAAGTTAATTTTAGTTGTACTGATGTACCTACCTAACGAGCTTGTATGAATGATTGGCTGAGATTAGGGGAGATAGCTAAAAGACAGAATTTACTAAGATCTACAATGGACAAGAAATTGTCGAAATCTATGATTGCCCACATCTTGAAGCTTATAGTTTTGTCTCTTGTATTTCCCACTTGTGGCATTCTCTTCTGGTTTCTTACTTCCCTGTTCACTATGATTTTCAAAAATTAAAATGCAATATTAATTGTTATATTTTGAATCTTGGTCTTCTATTTTCCTCTCTCCTGAATATATTTTTCCTCAGATTCTTTCCATCTCAATAATCCAACATGTCTTATTGGTGTCATCACATTACTTGAGGTAAAATTATTTAATAAAAAACAATAAAGCAATCAGGCTAGCAGAACATAATTACTCAGATGCTTTCAGAGACTTTTCAAGATATTTCTATATTTTGGTAATCCCTATTACAAATCTTACCTTTCACTCACTGGTAGACTACTAATTTTTTTCACCTTTTATGTACCATGTCACTTGAGGCATTGGTAATCATGGTTTTACACAACTTCCTTTCACTTGTAGTTTTAACAATCAACATTTGACAGTTTACAATAACTTTTTGCCTTCACACAAGCAAATTAGCAAATTTATTTACTGTTTCTCCCTTCTCTTCCTGTCTTGGAATCTGGTTTCTAAGTTCCATGTGTGTTAAATTTTCCAAGCCATCTGTTTCCCAGATATTTCAATTATTTTGTTCCTATTTTCCTTAAAACTTTCACATTGCTCACTTATTCAGTCCATAGTATTTTCAGTAATTGTCTGTAGAACAACTCTATCACTTCATCTATATAATAAATATTCAACGTTTACTGCCACATAAGAGGAAAGAGATGAAATACAAGTTCATCAGTTTTTCATTGTTTCTAAAGAACTTTTCCTATTTCTTAATTCATTGCTTGGATTCTGGAAGGCACCTTTCCCTAAACTGATGCACCTTCAGATTTCCATGTCAAATGTATATCATAAAGCCTGAGTTTTATTAACAGACAAAAGGTCTTGGAAAACGTTGGTATTTTTCCAATTCTATGCACGTTTGTTATTCGAGAATCATCCAAGAATGAACATGAAGTTATATATAAAGAAATACATCAGCAGTTTTCGATTCAGTAGATATTCTTATCTTATTCTTCCTTCCTTACTCTTTCCTTTGCATTTTTTGTTGTTGTTTTGATTCTTTCATATTTAATGTTTTCATTCAATTACTTCCTTGCTTTTATATTTTCTTTCTTTTCATTTAATTATTTCTTCTACTTGTTCTTTCCTTTTTATTTTCCTTCTTTTGTTCCTTTTTCTTAATCTGTTCTTTCTTTCTTTCTTTTAACTCAATTGCTTTGCTTTTTTTCATTTTTTTTTTCTGAATTTTTTAAACTTATTTTTATAGCTTCTTTTTTTCCTTGTAATATCAATTCATGCTAAACCTAACCCTCCCCACCTCCTGATGCCTCATCTTCTTCCCATCCTGCAGTACATAGACAATCTTTCAAATGTCTTTTTTACCTTATTCCACCAATGTTTGGATAGTCTTTAAATAAACGTCTTTTTGAATTACCCAAGTATAAAATTAACTGTTAGTGAAAGGGTTAAAATGTGGAAAGCCCGCTTATCCAACGCCAAACTGAATTTAGGCTGTCTTGCATATGATTGCTATTGATTCAATGATTGTTATTTCTTTGAGTTGGTCTGGATTGTGAAACTTTCAGTTGCAGAGAAAGTAACAATTATCCCTCATTGCACAAAAGGGAAAAAAATAGAAAAATGATGAAGATGCTAATAATGATGTGAATAGAAAAAGAGGGAGTGATAGAAATGACAATGGAAACACAAGCAATAAGAAGAATGATGATGATGATGAGGATGATGGAGGTGGTGGTGGTAGAAAAAGAGGGAGAAACGTAAATGACTATAGAATGGCAAGCAATGAGAATGATGATGATGTGAATAGAAAAAGGGGGAGAAACATAAATAACTAAAGAATGGCAAACAAGGATGATGATGATGATGATGATGATGATGATGATGATGATGATGATGGGAATAGCAAAAGAGGGAGAAATATAAATGACTAGAGAATGACAAGCAATGGTCATGATGATGATGATGATGATGATGATAGTGGTGGTGGTAGAAAATGAGGGAGAAATTTAAATGACTGGGATTTAAATGGGAAGTGATGTGCATGATGATGATGATGGTATTGATGATGATAACAACGTGAATAGAAAGAAAGAAAAATATACATAACTATAGAATGGCAAGAGGTGATGATGATGATGATGATGATGATGATGATGATGATGATGATGATGATGATGATGTGAATAGAAAAGGGGGAGAAACATAAATAACTATAGGATGGCAAATGATGATGATGATTATGATGATGATGATGACGTAAATAGCATAAGGGAAAAATGATACAGAATGCCGTGTAATAATGATGATGTGAACAGAAAAAGGGGGAGAAAAATTAATAACTATAGAATGGCAGACAAGTATGAGGTTGATGATGATGATGTGAATAGCAAAAGCGAGAAATGATACAGAATGGCAAACGATGATGATGATGTTGATGATGATGATGATGTTAATAGCAAACAATGACGAAGCATAAATGACAAAGGCAAGCAATAAAAGGCCAATGATGATGATGATGACAACGAAAGTGAATGTCACACATTTTTCTGAAAAATAAAATTTCAGATATGACTGGGTAACAATTTCTGCTCTTTTTGGAATTATGCAAATGACAGGAATTTGACAATGCAAAAGCTATTGTTATTCCTGCAAACCAGAATTTGCTCAAGAAAATATAAAAAGTAATTTATTCAGGACTTTGAAATTAAAATGGACCCCCCAGTCTATAGTAAGAAAGCAAATCTATTCACTATAAAGAATAGAATTGTTCAGATAATGGATTTTCTGCTTCCAGCAGAACAGGGGTAAAAGGAAAATCAGGACAAATACCTGGAAGTTGTCAGAGAAGTAAAGAAATTGTAGAATTTGAGAATCATGGTTGTACTTAGCATTTCTGATGTACTTATGGCTGTCCCCAAACCTTTACAATTAGAACTAAGGATGAAATGACACCTTTCAAACATCTTCTGTGTGTCGTGTCCCTTCAAGATTTGGGCAATCATAGATTTCCACAATTTCTTATTCTTCATAGATCTTAGTAAATTCTGTCTTTTGCTATCATCTGCTCAGCTATTCATTCACACAAGCTCATTAGGTAGGTTATGCACATCTGTACAACTAAAATTAACTTGAATTCAGAGGACTATGTGAAAGAAATTAACTGATCTTCAGTAATATCCACCAGTAATAGATACAATTCAAGTTCTCACTCTTAGCCAATATCCATCCCACTGCATCGCACATCCTTTGGTAACTAAAATTTATGAATTTAAGTGTAGTACTAGATTGGCAGCTAGGTTTCATAATTTTACAGTTGAAATTGCTAGTTGTAGCTGTAAGTTCTATTCTAACATTTTTTTCTCTGACACTTGTTTCTTGGGGAACTCTCTTCTGGCCTCTTGCTTTCAAGTCAACATTGATTTAAAAAAATTGAATGCAATGTCAGTTGTTATCTTCTGAATTCTTAAATGAATCAGTGTGTAGTCTAATAATGATAAACATTTATTTCACACAAAAATATGTTTATCATTCAACATAATGTACAACATTGTCAATTTAAGCCCAGTGCTAGATTGGCAGTTAGGTCTCATAATTTTCACTGTTGAAATTGCTAGTTGCAACCATAACTTTGCTAACAATTTCTTCTCTCATACTTTTCTCATGTTGAGCTTTCTTTTTGCTTTTTGTTTTCCTATCAAATATAATCTTCAAAAATTCTATTATTGTCCTCTCTGCCTATTTCACTCTCAATAACCATGCATTCTAGTGGCTTTTTTGCCTTGCATGGGGTGAAATGATTTGAAAAATAATCAAATGGGTTGATAAGCCATAGAAACAAATCATTCAATCAATAAAAAATAATCTATGTTGAAAGGTAACACATCATTTCTTCACAGTTGAGTATGACAGGCAATTGTCACATAATGTTTACATCATACATTCATGGATTTCTTTTGGTGTTTTCTTCTGCAGGAAGAGAAATTTCTTGACAGCTCTGAATTCAACATTGGAAAATTCCACACTTTCAACTGACATGATTTAATGAATAATCTGAAAAGAATTCCAAAAAATAAATTCAAGGATCCTCCAAACTGGAAATTTACAATATAAAAAAACCCACACTCTTTCCACCTTCAGTGGCATAATTGTGTCCAGATTTTGGAAAGTGGTTTAGGCTTAGATATTTTCATCACCCCCTTATACATGCACACACACACACACACACACACACACACACACACACACACACACACACACACACACACACACACACACACACAGACACAGACATATATATATGTGTTGTGCATTAAAATGCATCAGCATAAATGTACATATTTCTCTTCTAAATTATTGTATCAGTTTTGATTTAGGTTATTTTTATGGTTTTTGTATTTGTCCAGCTCTGTCATTGTTGCATTGGCTCTGATCAATAATTTTCATACTCCACTTGGCTGAGAGTAATAGATATTCCAGCCATCCTATTTTATTATTTGTGATAATTTCAGCATGAAAAGATTCTTTGATGTCCTTCCTAAATCTATCTATCTATCTATCTATCTATCTATCTATCTATCTATCTATGTTTACCCAGATGTGCGAGTTGTTCAAAATTATCACCCTTCTATCATACATACATAAAATTTATTTGCTGGATTTTATTTTTATAGTGCCCATTCTGTATTTCTTTATTGTTCCTTCTCTCTCACTATATATATATATATATATATATATATATATATATATATATTCTTACACTTTTTTCTTGCATTTGACTCTGTATTTTATCTAGATATATCTTACTAAAAGAATTTATATTTACAAATATAAATGTGCATATATATATATATATATATATATATATATATATATATATATAATTCATTCAGTCTATGTTGGTGTATCATGTCTTTCAATTTCATGTAAATAAACATCAGTGTTTACTTTTAGAATAAAATTTTTCTTTCTCTATGTAAAAGATTATTTTTTAATTTTAAAATACTTTTATTGCTTCAGAATGTAGTTTCCCTGCAGTGAGGTTTCATTCAAAGGAAAAAGAGACATAAAACAAGTCATGCAGAAAATTATGGCTCTCCACAGCTTTCTGCCCTTTATAGCTCTATTCAATATTTGTCTTCATACCATACTTGTCAGTTCTTGTTCTGCATAAACTCATAAGTTAGGTCAGGTATTTTGGATGTCGAATAATCCAAACCCACTTTCCTCAATGCCAAAAAAATAACAATTCTGTCTCATCAAGCAATTTGCTAATGAAGTGTGTTTGGTTCTCTTTTTAATCATATGTATAAGTGTCCTTTTTCTTCCCATTTTTCTTCAAATTTCTTGCTTGCTTACATTCACCCTCTAAGTTGTTCTCAGCATCCTTCTGTAGAAACATATCTTTGTTATTCCAAATCTACTCTTCTTTAAGGAAATTGTCCAGCATTAATTGACATGTAAGAGGATTGTTATTACATAGTCGTTCAGCACTCTTTCTTTTGTTTCTAACGAAATTTTCCTGTTTCTTAATACTTTGCTTAGCTTTTGGAAGGTACCTTCTGCTATTCCAATGTACCTTTTGATTTCTGTGTCAGATATTCTGTCAACCATTCAGTGTGTTAAACTTCTGTACCTGTTTTATTATTATTTCTTCCATTTATAAATCAGACAAGGGACTGTGCCTCTTGCAGGCAACAATAGATTCTATCTTCTTACAGTGCTATAGACCTGCTCAGTTCTTTGAGGACATTTGCAGGAATTAAGTAAAAGATGCATGTCATGATAAGAGAGTTTTATTTGAGAAAGAATTTGGCATGAATAATCTTGAGACATTTCTTGTGGAATCTACTTAATGAATACTTCAACAGGGGTATGGAATTTTGACATCAGATGATCCTTATCTATTTTGGACATTGTGCTAATAATGAGAGACTTTAGGGATTTTATAGTGTTATGGGGGAAGTGATTGACATCCCTCTTAACTATGCTTTATATATAGTAATCCAACAGATTCAGATCTGAATAGCAAGGATGCTATATGGACTGATGTCTTCATAGAAATGGCAACTTCTCCATTCTTGGGTCATCTTGGCCTTTATAAGATCATGCATAATCATCTTGGCAGCTGAATGATCTTCCTTTGCTCATGCTCTTTATCCAAG